GCGGTCCCACGCGGTGGGTGCTCCGTGCCCCCGTACATCCCCGGCCGGCCCGCGCGCCGGTCCCCCAGAGCGCTGTCGAGCGTACACCCTGGTGCACACGCCCCAGCCCAGCCACTCCAAATGCCTACTTACTTGCTACGGGAGCCGAGTTGACAACAGCAGTCACACCGCCGTCATGCAGCTCCCCGTCGTCACGCGCACCCTCCTCGTGGCCCTCGTCGCGGGCCTCGTGGCCACGACGGCTCCCCCCACCGCGCCCGCCCAACTGGACGCCGCCGCCCCCTCGGAGCCCGCCGCCGGCGAGGCCGCCGAGCACCGCCACCTTGGTACCGCCTGGAGCACGCTGTTCAGCGCGGAGGGAAGCCCCCCGCACCGGCGCCGCCACCACCACCGCGGCCACCACCAGCACGCCCCCGCGTCCTGCCCCAGCTGCGGGCTCCGCCGGGAGATGCTCGAGGAAGGGCTCAACGACGATCTGACGGCGCTCCGCATCGAGTTCGTCAAGCAACAGATCCTCAAGAAGCTCGGGCTCAAGGAGCCCCCGAAGGTGAACAAGCCGTCCTCGGTGATGCCCAAGCCGCTGGCCCTGGCCGGTCTGGCGCTGCCCGTGCCGCCGCGCCGCCGCGAGGACGACAGCGAGGACTTCTACGGCCGCACCGACCAGGTCATCCTCTTCCCCACCGACCAGGGTGAGTGTCAGTACTGAGGCATGGTACTAGATTTCTATTGCCAACCCCCCAACCCCGTCGCCTACTTCTGATGAGCATTATGATAGAAAGTTCCAAACGTAATATTTACACGAACGTGTCGTTTGAAGTCAAGTCATGACTACTGTTTCGTAAATCTCTTTTATCAGAAGAAAAAAAAACTCTCAAGCTGAAACTGCGCATTCGGTGCTGTAAGCTGTGTGTGTGATGGCGGCCCGGGACGGATTTACTTTGTTGCGCGTTTCGTGTTGAGTGTTTGTAAAGTGGGACCGAACAGATAACGCACCATGATCGTATTGCTTTGAATCTCTTCGAGTGAGAAGTCTATGATGTGACTCTGCAAAAGTTAAGGTTCCATGACAACAATCATTATCAAGTCTGCTAATTCTTTGAATTCGATCTAAATTGTCTCTTGTCTCTATTTTTCTGTTTGCTCGGCATTCGAATACTCAAGATGATGTCACTTCAATTGCAATTCCGAGTAGATAAGCCTGTATCATTTCACCCAACCATTTTGGCATCATATTTGACCTCGTGAAAGGACATCACGTCCTTAATTAGAAACCTAGTCTTATGCATGTTTGTGTTACGTTAAGAGCCAAGTGTGACCCCGTGTACCGGTGTGATATGCGTTTTAGTGGTTTCAACTGAGCCTCGAGTCGAATCAAATTACCATACTACTTTAAGCATGATGTAATAATCTACATTCTGGAGGACTTTTGCAAACCAATCTGCTTGCTGCCGAAATTTTCCGACGGCTGTCTTCCTCTTTTCCCCTTTTTTATGGGAGGTCAATGAGGCCATCTGACCCAGCTGCCAAGTTTTTGGCGCCTTATAGCAATAAGAGAGAAAGTTGAAAACAGCAGATTTCTCTTTTTGCCTTGTTTTCCCCAAACGACACTTGTGCAGTGCGATTCGGCAGATGGCGTCCCTACCCCCGCCACCCGTCATCCGCTTTGCTGATCTCCGATCCCTTTTTTTCTCTCGTTTCTATCACCATCGACGCCTCACTCGAGACGGTTTTCACGTGATCCGATAACGATTCTACATGGTGATGAGCGCCTTGAAATGTCGGGGGAAAGTCGCTTCTGGTGTTCAGCACGACGTGTTGCATTACCATGCCTACGCGATGCCACCGAGTTTTTGTGCTAGGAAGCTTGAAATCCGTGCAATAATTAGAATTATGATTCTGTTCCTGAAAATCTCTGTGGATGTCAAAATTTATTAAAATGTTAGCGATGGACACCGTTTTCACGTAGTTCGAGGGGGGTGGATTTGCATCGACTGAGGTTTACTGGTGGTCGACTGGCCCAAACCTTATCCGCACGCTGCTCCATTGCACCCCCCGGCCCGGCGCTACCCATGTGTAGGGGCAGCGCATTCAGGTCACTGCCGAACGTAGCTCGACTGGGTAAGACTACAGATTGTCTATAAGATCTCAATGCTCCGGAGGGCTTCGGATATAACAGCGCTTTAGGGACTTGGTGTGCATATTTTTACACGGGAAAAATGAATAAGCTGCCCGTGCCAAAAATTTGCTCTTTAGGCTAATACATTAGATCGAATGGCCTCGAGTAATAAAATTAGCTCTGGTAGCTAATGTTACGTGTAGACAGGTGACGAACAATATTTTGTAAAAGCTAACACACGAGACGCACTCTGAAAAAATCAGTACCGATTTCTGTAACTTGTTACGCATTAACTTACATATCACCTTCTTTCTCCCTGGCAGTGAACCTGTCTTACCGTGAATGTTTGATTCTGTCACAAACGTTGCTATCTGTCCAGTACCTGTCGGTGCTCGTGGAGCTTCCACCCAAACAGAAAACTATGCGCATCTACCTGTCACTTCATTCGTTTTCACAGCTAATTCGCAGGGTGACTGGGGCTTCCGTTTCCTGTTTGCAACGATCGCTCGTTCCTTTCGTGACGCGCCTACAATATCATGAAAAAATACTGATTCATCTGTTTTAATTCATTATCAACCTCTGTTAGCTGTTCGGTTAGCTGTGTAGCAGCCAAGCTAACTACATTAGGTCATGGAGCTAATAGGCTCATGCTATGACAGACACTAAGACTAACTAACTATCCACAGCAGCTGGTAAGATTTCTGATGAGAATATTGGCTAAAGCCATATTGGCTGACTAAATTTGCTGAGACAGATGAAATGTTATTGGTATGCACAGATAACCTGTTGAACCTTCAGAAAACATGTGTACGAAATACACTTTCTGGGCAGGGAAAAGGTTTGAATACACGGTTGCCCGCATGTATACCCCGGTCAATTTCGTGGTTATACTGTACCGCATGCAGGCCTGCGCACGCGTTGCCTATCCGCAAGGGGTCATAGGCGCCGTGGTGAGAGACATCAGGCAAGCCTCCCCGCCCGGCTGCATGAGCGGTACAGTGTAACTATGAAATTGTCCCTGGTATTTGGGCCACCCTGTATGAAGTGCGCACATCTGCCACCTTCGTTTGGTCAGCAAACAACAAGGCAGGCATCGCGGCCACGTGGGTTGGTGGCTCAGTCTCCGCCGGCCTCCGCCGGTCTCCGCCCTTACAGGCGGGGTCCATGACTGCGAGCGCGTACACGCTGCCAGGGGCTGGACGGTTGACCCTATTCGCTGGACCACTCATGGCGTCCTCATGGCCCGCTCATGGGCGGCGGCGTAGCCCGGCGCAGCCTCCCTCCAGTCACGTAGGGCGCGGATGCGTGCGCAAGGAGGGGGGAGGGGGAAGCAGGTCTCCAGGGTCGGCGCGGGGGGCCCGGGGGGCCCGGGGGAAGCGAGAGGGCCACCGATCACGTGACGACGGCGTGGTCGAGCACGCAGGCCGCGTGGTGCCTCGGTGCCCATGGCGGCGGGCCGCGCCGGGCCGACGCATCCAGCAATTGGCCTGGACGGCCGGGCCGGCCGCACGGTCCGGAGAGCTGCAGAGAGCGCGACCGCTCTCCCGGCGAGTGCGGCGCGACCAGCCAGGAGCACACTGAAGGCGTGCTGGAGCCATACCAGGACTCGTTTGATGTGCATGTGTATAGGCGACTAAACAGTGACATCAAAATGTTACGATAAGAACGTTGTAATGGTCTTCTTAGAAGGCTTAGAGCTCAGCTTGAGAGTGTCCTGAGCCTCTATTTGAACGTACAGTACTTAGCGAATCACACTTGCCTGTCAGAGGCGTTCTTTCCATCTTCAGTGTAATCGAAACGTCGATGAGCATAGTGCAAAGTTATGTTTATCCTTGGAAATGGATATCTTGCGGAGGGGGGGGGGGGTCATCATGCGATGGTGGCGGTCTATCATGAGATTTATGTTTCAAGATGATTTTTGCTATGGAAAATTTAGATAACGGCGCAACAGGTGTGAAAACAAGTGTCAATGACGGCATCTTGATTGTGGCACCACTGAAGAGCTTACGCACATGGCTCGTGGCTCTTGAACGTACAACTCCCGTCCCCGCTTAGGAGAGCACCCACCTTATGGTCATATGCTCCCTGTGTTCCAGACGGCAAAAAGCTCGGCCAGTGTCCCGGAGACGATGCCTCTCCGGCCAAGACATCCTGCTTCTTATTCAAGCTACCGCCCGACATCCAGGCCGAGGAGGTGACCCAGGCCGACCTGTGGCTGTACCGGCGACCACTGTCCGCCGGCGGCGCCGACAACGTCACCCTGGCCGTATCCGAGGTTGCCAACTGGGATCTGGATGAGAGCTTCCAGCGAAGAAGTGCCCTCGTCTCCGAGCCGGTCATCGACAAAGGTAGGTGTCATGACCGAACCACTACGAGCAGTCGGCTCCACCCCCTCGCGTCCCCTTCCCCCGGGCCGGCGCGCCGCGCTGTCACTGACCTGGACTTTGATACATTCCACCGCGATACAGATGCTCGGGTCATCATCCACTCCCGGATCGTCTTCGGGTTCGGATGGGTTTCCTCCTTCCCCGTTGCCGTTTCGGTGGCCTCCTTTTTATCTCCTCTCATTCCGCCCTCGATTTTTGGAAGAGGCGCGCCCAAACTTTGGAGCTACACCGACAGACGACCTGCTGAAAAGCGCCGGCGGGAGACGGGGTGGGGGTCAGCCTTTACTGAATGTAACCTGGTTGGCAAAATAAAGAAAACAGACAAACAGATGACTTTTGTTTACTCATCTACAGCTGTCCATAGGACATGTTGTAAACAAGAAAAAGGCATGTTCGTTCGTATCATCGCTCTGATCTTGCCCCCCGCGGGGCTGCCAGCAACATCGTCAGCACCGGGAGGCGGTGTGGTAGAACGGCGGACGGCTAACTTCAAAATTCCCCCGAGAGATCAGCCTGGCGGCCACCCGCGCCTCCCGCGCGCCGCTCCCGGTCGGCTTTTGGACCCAAGAGGGGAAAGGGGCGAGGGG